TCAATATCATAGTTGGACTGCACCAATTTAATGTCTACAATGCAGTGTAACAGATAAAAATAGTGATTCCTTGTATCTCGTATTTGTTTTCTTATGATCAATTGGAGAAGATTTCAAAGAGTGCATTGTGGGTAAACCTTTGAGGGTCATATCACCGTGTGTGGGAGGTCCTCAACATTAGGTCCTGAAGAACTTTCTCTTCAATGCTATTTGACCACGCAGGAGGACCTGAATTACAGAGGGTCTCAGATTTCATTGTTCTTTCAGTGGAATGAACCTCAAGTCAGTGACAAGATCATTTGTTCTGAAAAAGCATTTCCTTAGAGAACTCTGGTAATGCTGGGAGAATCCCCTGAGCCTGATGATAGCTGATGGGCTTGTCCAAACACAGCAAGCAGGCCACTGCCCTCGCTAAAGTGTGTAAGATAGCGATACCCTCTGATCCCAAGGAAAGGCCGACCACGGAAGCGTAATTGAGCCATCTGATTCCGATTCAGCTGTGGACCTTCCCTTCCACAGCTGAGTAGACCAGCACAAAGAGACTCTGGCTGCTTTCCAGGTTAAGTGTGCTGAGAGTGTGTGCCGTTCCAGCATATGTAGGCTCATGCTGCGAAGATACAAAACACTTTGACTTTACTCTCCAGAGAGGACCCTGGCTCATTTAGTAAGGGCTAAGAGCGTAAGGTGCAAAATGCTCCAGTAGATGCTAAAAATGTCTCAGACTATTAATGCCTCTCAAAATAAACACAGCAAAAGCAGGCAGAAAAGCACACATAGACTGAGAGGCTGAAGTGGTGCCAACAGAGAAATGAAAGATTCTTTCTCTGATCTATAAATATCACCATTAAATAGTTCTGGTGAAGCTTGGAGATTATCAACGCTTTTCAATCCCAACTATTCTATCAAAGCAGTCTCTCGGGCATCACTCTCAGGAGTCTTTCATGCCAGCAGAAAAAAAAAAGAAAGAGAAAACTGGGTCAGGTATGAGGCAGAGGCAAACAGAAATGTAGTGCTTCCTTTAAATCCTTTAAAGTCCTTTAAATATATATCAATGCTAACAGGGAACCAGAGAGACAACAAAAATTAGAGCTTATCCAAAGGATAACAGAGAAGCCACTTCGTCATTTTGAAGTAGCCGAGAGAACTTAACTGTGTTAATTTACTACCTTTCAGAAGCAAAATCTTGTGCCCAAAATAACAGATGTGTTACTCAACAGGTTTAAAATTATGAAAAACATAACACATGTTGACATTCTGACAGAAAGCTTTAGTCAATGTTTATATTGTTAAAAGACACTGAAGTAGACACACAGGCCATGTCCAGACTAATACATGTTCGTTTGAAAACGCATCTTTTTCTCTTCGTTTTGGCCCTCCATCCACACTGAGACAGCGTTTTCGGTCAAGGAAAACGCAGCGTTTTAAAAACGCTCTCCAAAGCGGATACATTTGAAAACGCTGTTTTTGCGTCGCAGTGTGGACAGCGAACCTGGAGCCTTTTCGAAAACGATGACACATTTTAGTCATGTGGTGCAGTCATGTGACCAATTAAACTAAGATAGCGGAGGGCATTATACAGCAGTTGTTTTGTTTGTACTAAATTTTGACAGACCTATTAAAGATTAATATCAAATGTACATGCTCCACAGAGCTTTTCTTCAAATTCTTTAATTCTCACTTGCTTTTGCAACTTTGTAGTTTTATGTTACTCGCAGCAACAACTCCACCTCCTTGTTAGTCCATTTAAAAAACTCGGTGCTTTTCCTCTACGTTTTGCTGCAACCTTTCAAAGAGCCAGAAAGTAAATAAACAGAAGACAGAAATGAGGCAAGTCAAATCGTCTTGCATTTCACGAATGCGCAGTACGGAAACGTAAGCATTTTCGGCCATTAAAATGTGGATGAACAACAATGTGAAAACGACTGAAAATGATAGTGTGGACGCAGAGCGTTTTCAGACGAAAACGCCATTTTCAAATTTATCTGGACTGATGTGGATGTAGCCAAAGGCCAACCTAATAATTTACACCTATGTATGGGCCCATGGATGCAGTTTAAGGTCATCAGTGTGTCATAGCATTATTTCACCTGAATTGTCATCTACTTTAATGAAGAAGTCCATTTTCATATGGTGTCAGCTATAGCCACTATGTGACCCTGAAATAAATAAGCAGTTTAAAAATAATAATAATAAAAATGAACAAACTGTGACCCCACAGAAAGACTTACCACTGTAGCTGTGCCTACTGGTGCAGATAAACACAACTACATATCACTGCTTTATTTGTACCTGTACTGATAACTATACTACAGCTTGCAAGTATCTACAATCAATCAGGAAGTCCGTCAGCCATCTGTTGTGGCATTTTGCCTCAGGTGGATCTTTTGAAAGCTATGACATGCAATATATGCTGGCTGTGTACTGAAGGGTAGAGGCAGTTGCAAGTCACAAGTAAATGTAAAGCAGTATGCAATATGTAAATGAGCTCATCTCTAAACAAAACATAGGAACAAAGTGTGGCTTCTCTCTCTCTTGTGAAATAAACAAATAAACCTTTTCATAAGTACCTGATAAAAGCCCATAATTAACTTGAATAACAGCATCAGATCAGGTGCTGTCTATAGGAATTGAAGGGTAACTAATTATCTCTGCTTGATTTATCACAGCTGGCTAACTAATCTCAGGTTTTTAAAGGAGCCTCTACTCTATTACAACAGCTTGACATGCTTTTAAGTGGATAATGCATAATTCTTCTTCAGTTAACCCCAGTGTCAGTGAAGAAAATCTACAAGTTTCTTCCCTAAGCCTGCTGTGTTATTTTTCTGCTGCACACAACTAGTCAGTTGTTTGTATGAGCTGAAGTGATGTAAATGCTTGCCCCCCCAGCTATGAATCAGTAAACATCCCTAATCTAAAAAAGATTCACTGCAAGTTAAATATAGGCATGGATATAGGTTTAACAGTTTAGTATTATTCTCATCATAATTATATACTGCTTATAGATTTTGACGCCTCACAGTTTTTTACAGTAATATTCGGCACCATCTTGCAGCACCTTTTGAAGTGGCCGTCTCAACTCACTGGCTCCAGGAAACAGATGCAAATCAGGTACAAAATAACCTTCAAACCAAGGCCATAACAAGGCAAGTAAAGCACAACACCCTCTGTAAATTAATAAGCTGAACTTTGAAAATTAATAAGATTTTAATAAAACATAGAAACCAAACCAAGTCTGGACCTGTAGTTGTTCTGCTTAATCTGATTTTAATTTAAATTATAACTGTGGCTTTAAAAGAAATCCAACATTTGTTCAAGAGCTATCTGGAAGAAACTGTAAAGGTAATCTAGGTAACTCTGTGAAACAACCATTAATGGCTGCAGCTGGTGTCCGGATCATGATGGAGAGGGTCTTTTAGCCACAATAGTGACAGGCTCTCCATCAATTCGTGTGACTACCGTCAAGCCGAAAAACGAAGCCAACAAGAAAAAGGAAAAAACAAAACTCTAGTTCCTCTAGATGCCACTTGAGGCTGGCTCCAAAATTCCCAGAAACTTCCATGTTAAAATGGCCAAATTTATAGCACTAAAACCACATTTACAGCGTGGATGGTTTTAGCCTCAGTTTAACTTTAAGAGAGGTGGATTTCTTACAACTCAGGAGGAAGGCCAAAATAACTGACAGGTGTTCAAACACACACATCTGGAGCCCATGAAAGTCAAAGACCAAGCTCCACTACTTTAGAGTCATTAAAGTGGACCTCATTATCATGGCTTGTAGTGTAGTAGAGACCATCCAAGAGGTTGTACTTTAGTTTGGGTGAGTGAAGTTACATTTTATTACCTAATTACTTAGCACTAATTAACAGTGAGTGACATAAAAATGGCTACATTCCTCTTTTTTCTATCTGTGGCTACTGTGCAGGTCTCCTTTGTATCTGAGGTTTTATGACTAAACACACCAGTTAGTCTGTGGATAAGTACTGTTCCACCCCCCACCCCCACCCGACACACACACACCCAATTTCCTCAACATATGCAGATTTTTGTGTTTTGCTTTAATTATATGTGAAGGTCACTGAACTCATATTGAGATCCAAATATATTTGAAAAAAATTTTTTTTTTAAATAAATGTATTCTATTACACAAATTAAGAAAATATGTTAAATAGGTGAGATGTTGATTAAACCTTTTATGCATATATGCTTAGGGTGAATACAGTTCCAGTGCTGAAATAAGTCTACGATGCATCATTATAATACATTGCTACTATTGTGCCATATACTTAGTCATTTTACACTCCATTTGTTTCAGCCAATTTTAAGTGTAATTGCAGTCTGTTTTTCTGCCTCACAGATTTCTGCTCCTAAAGCACTGCTAATTTTCCTTAAATGGACAGACTGTTCCATGCAGCTTTTTAAAGGGCCCGGGCCATCGGCTGTGTTGACCTTCACTTGTCAACATAACTACCTCCTTCTTTATGCCAAATGTCATGACCTTAGGGGCCACAGCTCCCTGTTGGTATCCACTTGGCCAACTTTGCCTAGCATTTCAAAATTAGCAAAGCTACACCCTACATACACTGTTGTCAATTAAAAACAAAAAGGGAGGCTTTATTATTGGCCAAAACATTGCATTTAAACGTTTCGCTCATGCGCTGTCTCATTCATAAGCATTTTTACTCCTTTCCTGCTGGCAATGAATTCCATTACAAAACTAGCTAACGTTAGCTACATCTGAATTGTTGTTATTCATAATAATAACACAATTTTGTTCCTATATGAGGTTTTGAACAGTAAACTTAGCACTTAAACTAACGTCGACGTTAGCAAGTCAGCTAGAAAAACGCTTGCTGCTGTTTTGGGGCCCGTGTAGACGTCTGCTTGTGCTATCGACTAACCTCACGCGTTCCAAAGCACATATAAACACATATAAACAGGTATGTGACCCTTGTACGAACCGTGACATCCTGCGCCAAGAAGCCAAATATACGTGACCTTACCGTTGCCGAAAACCTTGTTTCGTCGCTTCTCCTTCTGACTGCTCTCGCTCAGTGTTTCTCCTGATATTCTACACTGGACGGTGGCTCGCTGCGCCCAACAGACTCGGAGCACTCCAGCAACAGCAGAAGAAACAGCGGCAAAGGAGACCTGGCCTAGGGAGGGTAGACCGAAGAGACTCTTTCGTTTGCATTCCATACAGGCAACGTGATGCAAAGCGGACCAATGAGCGTAAAGGGTGAGATTTGACCCCACCCCCTATTGTCAATTAACCCCTCCTCTCCTCTCTTTCCATTCACCTGTCAAGTGTCGGCCTCAGTCCTGATCTCCATGGTAACAAAGAGCTTTAATCTTTGCACTGTGCTCTGTTTGCAGTGCAGCTACGGGGCCACAGAGAAGCTTTAAAGATATGTCGCACTTTGTTTGGCCCTCTTCAAAACCGAGGTCAACATCAGCGACCTCAAAACAGCACCCCTGGAGCCATTTGATTCAGGGTTTTGTTCCGGGCCACTTCTTTGCCTTGTAAGCTTAGCAGCTATTAAATTCTTTCACATACAAGCATGTGGACTCTTTTTCTTGCACGCTCACCATTCTGCCGTAAAATAAGTATCATTTTGATCATGTTTGCTTGTAAGATGAATCTAACCTGAAGTGCTGGCTTTTTCACAATTTTCAGTCGTCATTATTAGAATGTTTCTTCATTTTTAAGACAAGTTAGACTTTAATGCAGAGGGGAAAACTAAATAAAATTAACTAATTAATACCAAATTAAATTCAGAGAATACAGCGAAGGAGATAAACAGTTCACAATGTAAATCGTATGGCATGGGCATTTATTGATGATGTTACTGCTGATAGAGGCAGCAGGTGAATTCTGAAGTGTACAAGGTTATTCTCTCTGCTCAGATTTATACAACCAAGACTGCAAAAGTGATCCAACAGTGCTTCAGATGTGCAAACAATGACCCAAAGCATACTGTAAAAAGTGACCCAAGGGTTTCTCAAGGCAAAGAAATGGGATATTTGTCCGTTTGTCAATTAGTCATTTGATCCCAACCCATCAGAGGATGCTTTACTGAAGGCAAAGCTGAATGCACAGAGACCCACAAACAAGCAGTAACTGAATGTTACTTAAATAAAGGCCTGGCAGAGCATCTCAAGGGAGGAAACAGCACTTCATGATGTCTTTGGGCTGTAGAGATAAGAAATTCATTGACTGTATTTAAAAATGCAGCATTTAAAAATCCTTAGAATTAACCCTTTCATGCATGAATTATGACAACCTCAATCAGGATTTTTTTTCTTAAGTATTTCTATTCATCTTCAGTAATGAAAAGATGAATACAAAATACTTGAGAAAAAAATCCTGATTGAGGTTATCATAATTCATGCATGACAGGGTTGAATAACAATTAAAACAAAACAGTTAAACAAAACAATAAAACATTACAATGAAACACGTCAAACATTTATAGTAACATTAAATGACCAGTGGGTGGCAGGGTATGGAGTGACACATCAGTGTTCAATGTAGTGGTTTATGAGCAAGTATACCATCAACACTGACACTGACAAGAAAACAGCCTTTGAATAACTGTCCACTGTAGTGACCACTATGCATGAAAGGGTAATAATTGCCAATAATTTGTTTAAACCTCTTGAATAAAGATTGAAGAACGAAGAGTGTAGAAATACAAAAATATAAAAATTGAGTCATTGCCCGAACACTTACTGACTTAATTCTATTATCTAAATTAATTTTGCTAATAGATTTCAATCAACAGGACATAAAAAAAACCGCATGTGTATGATCACCAGTCAAAGCAGACATAAAGACAGACTGATAACTTTAAATACAATAAAGATGCATGCGCAAAGAGTTCAGAGTTTAAAATATTTAAATACCTATATAAACCCTATTCACTGTATTAATTTGAATGGCAGTAAGATATGCAAGCCAATAGGAGTCTGACAGTGGAATGCAGGCGCTGTTTGCATTAGTTACACCTGTGTCTATGATAATGAAGGTGTAACTAATGTGATTATGCAAATATTTTGTACCCCACAAAAGCGGTTTTGGCCTCCACATTTTATTGAGTCGTTTTATTTACTCAGCTCTATCTGCAGAAGAAGAGGAGATGAGAGGAAATGTCAGAAAGTAATACACAGACTGACTAGAACAACAAAAAAGTAAGGAAGTGCTGTTTCTGTACCTTTTCTTCTGTTCTGTTTGTTTCAATTTAGAATTTTCAACACGCACATTTGTAGTTTTCTATCATTTTGTGATTTTTGTTTTCCAGATTCCTTAAAAACTGCTGTCTTTCACAGGTTCAGGTTGTGGTTGTCTTTGCTCTCTGCACAGACTCTTTAGCATTCCACATACCGTGCACGCAAGAGTAGGCCCCACTGAATCTGTAATTTGTATCCTCATGGAAATGACCCAGCATTGTAATAAATTGGACAACAATGAACTGCTAATGTTTCAGTAAGTCACTATTGTGTTGCCTGCAATATGAGGAGGCAGCACATTCATCCGCCTGCAAATACTGAATAATTTATCTGAATATGACTTATTTGGTTGGCCCGCGAGTTAATTATCTGGTCTTTCATAGCTCCCCTGATACATCCCTCACAGCATCAGTATGAGCACAGCATCGTTCCAGTAATGCAGTTAGTTCCCAAAGATACGCTGTGGGATTGCAGCCAAGATTAATGTGTGATATTAATGTTATAGCAGAGGTAACAGTGAAGTCAAACACTGCTCTGTTGGACTGGAACATACCTTCAATGTGACGCTTGTATGCCATAATGGACTAGCGGTAACGGTGTGCTGATAATAATGTGAGAATCTTAATGGAATATTTATGTGTGGCTCCCATTCAGCTTTGTTGACCAATAAAATCAGAGATGAAGTTTTTATATTTTTTACAGTGATGCAAATAATTTTAAACTTAAAATAATTTAGTTAGCTTTCTTTGTTCTTTATTGCTTTAAGTAAGGTTTCAAACATAAAATGTGACTTTTTTGTGGTTAGTCTGATTATACAGAAGTACAATTATTAAACCAAAGTCACAAGCAAAGGGACACAGGTTTATTGTTTAAATTACTGCTGCTTGTGCATGAATTTTACAAAAAGGCTATTCTTCTTCTTCTTCTTCTTCTTTTTTTTTTACCAAATGAACTGCCTTTCAAAATATGTGGGAGTTCAAAGCCCCAAACAAAATAATAAAATGTGGACAAGCAGCATTAATTAAAGTATTATGTTTCACATAGATGGAACCAGTAGCTTTTATGCTTAGCTTTTCAAAACACATAAAAACAAAAGAAAACATATATTGTATTGTCTTTGGCCTCAAGTGAATTTGTATCCATACATATTTGTATCCCACAATGCTTTTTCCACATTGCATGGGGGTTGAGGGATGGTGCAATGCCTCTGGATTGGCGGACTGGGGTAGTGGGTCCCTCTGTTTTTAAGAAGGTGTGTTCTAACTTCACAGGGATCAAAGTCCTCAGCCTCCCTGGGAAAGTTGATCAAAATCAAAGTCAAAGCAAACTTTATTGTCATCTCTGCTATAAATGGTACAGTATATAGAAAGATGAGACAACGAGTCTTCAGTTCCATTCAGTGCAAAAAACAACAATAAATATAAGAAGAGAATAAATATACACTTAAGACTAATGTAAAAGGATCAATGACAATTTACAGGTTGAATGATTTAAAGTGACCAGAAAACGTAGTAGCTTGCAAAAATGAGCAGGATTCTTGAGAGTAGGATTGTCCATAGAGCAGCGTCTGCATTACAAAGGCAGTGGTATGTGGAGTGCAATAGAGTCAGTTAGGCCATGTCCACACATCTTTTTCTCTCTGTTTTGGCCCTCCATCCACACTGAGATGGCATTTTTGGTCAAGGAAAACGCAGCGTTTTGGAAATGCGGATACGTTTTTGCTTTGCAGTGTGGACTGCGAAAGCAGGGGGCTTTTGAAAACGATGACACATTTTAGTCATGTGATGCAGTCATGTGACCAATTAAACTAAGATAGCTGAGGGCATAATACAGCAGTTGTTTTGTTTGCGCACAATTTTGACAGCCCTATTAAAGATTAATATCAAATGTACATGCTCCAGATAGCTTTTCTTCAGATTATTTAATAGTCACTCGCTTTTGCAACTTTGTACTTTTGTGTTACTCGCAGCAACAACTCCACCTCAGTCCATTTAAAAAACTCAGTGCTTTTCCTCCACATTTTGCTGCCACGTTTCAAAGAGCCAGAAAGTAAATAAACGTCAGACAGAAATGACGCAGGTCGAATTGTCTTATGTTTCACGCATGCGCAATACAGGCATGTACGCGTTTTCAGTAGTGATGTGTGATACCACTGATTTCCTTTCCGATCCGATAATAAGTAAAATTCAGGGTGGTATCGACGATGCTGATCCGATACTTTGTACAAAAACTTACTTTATTTATTGTATCTTTTATTGTATCTCAAATTATAGCGTCATCATGATTACAGGACATCATATTACTTGTTCTTATCACTTAATAATGCAGAATTCATCATGTAGAAATAAAAAACCTGAAGTTGTGCACTATTTGAGCACGCTGCCTACCTGCAGCACTAAAGGATTCAGTGAGAGACGTCTGTCTCGCCCTAGCAGCACCTGTCCCTGTCCTCCTCTTCAGTTCGCCTCAACATAAGCGCGTCATATTCTGTGATCTGATTTACTGTGAGGTATTTCACGAGGTTAGTGGTGTTGCCACAACACCTCACTGTCTTGCCACATGTATTGCAAACCACATCTCGGTTGTTTGTGCAGGTAAAATACGTCTGCACGTAACTCCAATTACACTCGTTTCGGTGTGGATGAACAGGAGGTGGTGTTGGTCGTCCAGGCGAGGTCATTTGAGATGTTGAGATGCTGAACCTCATCTCTGTACGCCGAATCGTCGTTGCTACTGATGAGTCCAACCCCGGTTGTGTCGTCAGCAAACTTTATGACATGGTTAGAGCTGTGTAGGGCGGTGCAGTTGTGTGTCCGGAGAGTGAACAACAGTGGGCTGAGAACAGCCATGAGGAGCTCCTGTGCTCAGTCTGATGGTGCTGGAGATGTCACTGATTCGGACAGACTGAGGCCTCTCTGACAGGAAATCTAGTATCCAGTTGCAGA